TTAGTTTTAATTGAAGTCCGTAGACCCGCAGTGATCTATGGTCTAGTGTAGAATTTTGATTTAGTTCTGGATAAAGTTAGCAATGGTGCATATTTGTCCAGGTTATTTTTAAATATAGCAATAAATTTGTTGAAGCTTAAGTTAAGTTCTGACAATTCAAAATTAACTAAATCCAGATCCCGTTGTGTTGTAGGCTATCACAAAACATATGGTGGTAGTAATTTTTCATTGAGCGTATGACAATTTTCTCTTTTCGATCAACCCTGTATCTTGCACGAGAATGAAAAATAGGTGAATGATCCAAATTTCATGTGTAATTATACCGGCGCTAATGTTATTGCTGAGATGTTCGTATAAAAATGGTCATACGGGTTTTTAGATGATTGAGTAATACGAGTGGTTTAGTAATTGGAGGCATATATTGGTTAGAGTAAAAAGCGAAAAAAGAAATAAAGCATGTTAATATAATTGTTGGTAGACGTTTGTTATAATTGTCTGAACGGTTGTTTGGATTCCTGTTTCAAGAAATCTGTTAAAATCACCACAAATATAATAATTACCTGAAAAATTATTAAAAGGTTTGGAGAATATTAGTTCATTTGCGTTTCGAAGGGCTGAACATCATTGTTTGGATGTCGATAGATGACGCAACTGTAATTGTTTTATTGAAATTTCCTAATAATGTGATCCACAGCTGCTCAGCATGCACTCCTGACAATGATGTACAGTAGCATGCCGTAAAGACACTAAGATAATGGCTCTTATATATCTGCCGGCAACTCCTCTTCGTTAGTAATGGAGTCCTTCTATTGAATATATGCAGGCATATCAAATGTGTATAGTGGCGTATTGAATCCTAATTTAGTTTCAAGAACTTGGGAATTAAGTCAAGTATTTTAGCAGTATTTAATTGGACAAGAAAATCTAGGAGGTACGTTAAATTTGTTTTGTAAACCTACGTGGCATTTACATGTAGTATAAACAAGTCGCTTGCTTGTCCCTCAGAACCTCACTTTCGAAGGGTTTTCAGGTTTCACGATACTTACTGCTTGGATATCTCAAATAATGGTCGCGGGTCTTCGGTCATCATTTTTGTAGGATCGTAATAGGTCAGCATCTGTATGGAAGGCATTTGCAGAATTAATCTGGTCAAGTAAAGAAATAGAAAGGAAAGTGGACTTAGTATACCCCATACAAACTACTAATTTGATATGGTACTAAACTAGCGTTGGCATAAGAACGCGCGTCTAACACGCGCTAAATTATTGCAGCGTGTTACACGCTATCCCCGCTTCAATACGCGCTAGCCTGCTTCGCAACGTTAGCCCCCCTTCGAAGCAAGGGTAACTTAGCGCGCACGCAAGTTATCCCGCTCTACAGCTGTGTCTGTACGAATCCGCAGGGCCGGTTCAAGGGCTGAGGCTAAACAGTATTTTTCCAGATTTAAGGCACATCGCCGCAAAAAGGGCCACACCACCCCACAGTGAGCGGGCAAAAATTTCGAAAGGGCAGCTGTGAAATCTAGACCGTATTTCGCAATACGGCAAATACGGTCTAATCTGGCCCCTGAATCCGGTGCTACACTCGCTATAGTTTGCATATAGGTTTTTGCATTATCATGTTCTGAAAACGAAGGTTTTTTTTTCAATAGCACGAGTAGCAATAAATGGTTTCATTCAAAGTTCCCAAAATTTCAAATTGATTGCTTAGTTAAAGTTATAACATTTTGTGTGAGACCATATTTGACATATCGTTACATAAATAGCAGATTGGTTAGGCTTGCAGGCTTTAAACATTTTCTGCAAGGAGAGGAGGCCGCCATCGTATATGAGGTTTCAAATTATAATAAATTTTACATGTAGTTTATTCTACACATTGGTCGGCGAGTTGGTAGTTTGTCTATCGTTTGCTTTCGTTACAATTTTCTATAATTTCACTTTCATTGGTCCTTGCCTAATGAATATTCTACGAGTCTTGTCCATAGATAGGCTTAAATCCTCTGTTCGCTTAGCTAGTCAGCACTTGTTAAATAGTAGGCTCGGCCGAGGCTTATAAGAAAGAGTGCGCTCGTTTAATAATATAGATGTTATGCTCTAGATGTAGTAAATATATAGTTGCCTCAGCTGATCCACATGTTTACGGTTTGATAATATGTTTCATTACGTGTTGTCGGCGCCTGGTAATTTTTACATTATTTTTTGTGGTGCTCCTGACCTTGGAGGTGGCACTGTGTGTTGTGCTTATATCTTGATACAGTTTAGGTTGATTTTCATGTTGTGCGGCGACGTCTTTTAACTACACTAATTTAATATTTCCGTTTTGAATGTAGCGGAAAATTATGCAGATTTCTATGGTGTCGGCGACGTCGCATGACTGTTCCAAATCGTCTATTGCCATGTCATTATCTTTATTGCTTTTTTTTAGGGTGCTAACAGCTGCTTTTAGATCTTGTTGTTCATTTTTCGAGATTGCGTTATTTTTTAGAGGCTTCTTCTAGTCACGTTTTAGTTCTTCAAATGAATGCAGAATATATTGCCTGCTAGATGAGCAATTCTTTCATACTGTCTATTGCTAGGTCATCTAGTCTTTTAGTTAGCCTTGTGAGATTCTCGATTTCATTACCTGTCTAAGGTTCTCTTCATGTCGTCCATTCTTTTAACAATATGCCCTCGCATATAGCCTTTTTTAGAATAAGGATTTATTACTTTTTAATTAAAACTAAACTTTATGCTAGGTGCAGACAGACCACAGCAGTGCAGGCAGACTATAACTATCAATAACGTAACTATTTGCCTATCTAGTTAGCTAGTACTAGTACTACGTACTCAGTTTACATTTCCTCCCTGGGGCAGCCGCCCGCAGTAACACCGTGAACGTAAATAGTAGGCTGTGTTAGTCGGCATAGCGAAAACATTATAAACAGCGCCACACCTGCTGTGTTTATTATTGGGGTAAAATGTCAAATATATAAAACAACATTAAGAATATATTTACAGT